AATGCCTTAGAAATATTGCTGGGATCACCGGGTAAGTAATAGTGAGGTTAGACGCAGGGAATGATGGTAAATCAGTTGATGAGGTTATGAATCTTCATCGACTGAGATGATTAGGCCACGTACTGCGTATGCCTGGACACCGACTACCACGACGCGCAATGCTCACTGGTGTTAGGGATAATTGGAAGAAAGTTAGGGGCGGCCAAACCAAAACGTGACATCAGTGCTTGAAATCACTAATTTCTGGGCTGAGCCATGTTGGAAGATTCAGACTGCCTGGTTGGGGTCCACGTGACTATCGTAACCAATGGCTGGAGACTCTTGGTGACATGGTTCAGAATCGATCACAATGGCGTATGTGTATACATTCTCTGTCTTCCTTTAAACTATAAGATTAAAATCGCTTCATATCTTTCTTTGTAGGGACTAATTCTTTCTTCCTGTACTATCTCCTTATATGCAATCTTTCTTCTATATATTACCACCACTGAATTAACTACTTCTATGAATCCGGTGTTCATCTTGTTGTGCTAATGCGGTATGGCTACTTGGACCGATGCAAATATGTGCCTGGTTTTACGTTGCAGCTGAATGACTGACTTTATATTTGAGACGAAATTAGTTTACTAATAATAGTTTTGTTTCTTTGAATAATAAGTTTGATACATTTAAATCCCTGATGTTTCACTCTCACAATTGAAATGACTAGAATTCATACATTTTTTTTGTTTTTAATCTTTAAAAGGATGGAATCCTCTAACTATCCTATTACCATTTATCTGTTCATATCTAATAGATCTACAGTTAGGAAAAAAATATGTTTATTGTTTCTGAGTGGATAATCTAAAATTATAATATAAATATTTACTATAAACTGTTAAGAAAAAAAAATAAATCTTACTCTCATTTCTTTAGATAATTTTTGTGTAGAATTAGGTCGTAAAGTTTTATCCATAGTGGTTAAAGTATCATGAGCTGTTGTTATATTAGTGTTAGTTACCCGAGTTGTATTCATTTTACATGTACTTGAACCTTGGTTATTGATTGCACGTGATCGAGTTACTCGATAAGTAGTAGATGGAGGGATGAATCCTTCAAGTCCAGTAACTTTTGGTGTAGAAGCAATTGGTAATCGTTTTCCACCACCAGATTTCATCTAGTCAAAAGTAAACACAAGAATAAATAACACTGGACTGATAACAAATAAAAATTATTTATAATGAAAATATGAAAAATTTCTCAACTAAACTGTCCCTCTAGAACGTGAAACTATAGCATCGTTAGGTTAGTAATAATAACCTGGTGTGAATTTGCACTGACTACGATATCTCATGTAGACATTTAGTGTTATATTAGATTCTATTAGCTGACGTAAGATATACCATAAGTGGGTGAATTTACAGGCTGCTGTTTCCGAAGGCATGAGTATTGGGCACTTACATTACTATTTCTTTATCACCCAGGACGACTGAAAAGAATAAAGAAACGGAGACGAATTCAGAGAACCAAGTCACTTATTTCTGTACATTTTCAACAGTGACCCCACGACTTCCTAGAGTAGGGACAGACGAAAAAACGCTTCTGAACATAGCAAGCTATCGAGTGTTTATTAACAACAAGCTCATTAAATATAAACTTCTGACTGGTAACTTATCAGGGCCCTCACTAGAGAGAGGGGAGTAGCGGTAAACAGGCCTCCAAAATAATTAGTTTTATAAGTCTTCAAATATATCTTTGCATCCCTTCATTCTCGTCTTCTGGTCTGATTGGCTTTGCGGTCCTTGTATGAGAAGTTTCACAAGGTAGCGTTGATAAACACTGAGTTTCCGTGACATATTCAGGCTCCTTGACAACCCCTGACGCTTACTTTCTAGTGGTTTACCACTTTAGCGTCCCGCGGTCAAAGTTTTGGACGAACGGATAGATATAAACCTTCAGTTTGACTCCATATACTACACCTAGGATAAACCTGTTTGAGCGACGGCAGTAATAAGAATCCACATAAGGATTAAGCAGAATGAATTAACTTCAGTCACTCGTTTATTCAGACGTATGAAAGTGAGAAGCGAAGCAGAGAAAGCAAGCGTCCCAACTTCATTTGAAAAAGTCTAACTAACTATTTATATCCAGGCAGTTAAGCTAAAGACTTGTGATGAATAGGGTAAGCGATACACACATATAAGCTCATAAACTTCATCTGCAGCTCTTTTAGAGTTACCGTCCAGACAATGAAAGAGGGTTGGGCAGTAGGTCAACAACTCCTTTCTGTAGAAAACAACCTTGCTAAAGGAACGCTAATTAGGAAAAAATCACTTAGGTTTCGCCCTTGAAGTTGAAGGATCTTCATTCAGAAAAATTATTACGCCTCACGATGACAGTCGAGATTCTTCGAAAATCACGAGGCCAATCCCACTTCTGACAACCAGAGCAACAATCGATATAGGTACATGGGGGAAACCAGAAGGACCGACCAAATAGCTGCGAAAATAACGAGATAAATCTTGGCGGTGCTTGGGATAAGTGAAACCTATTAGACCTAAACTAGACAAAACGGATTAGATTGGGGACAGATGCTGTTTTACATTGCTTATGAAGAATAAAATGCCTCATACACGAAAGGATTTGCTCTGATGCTGTTCAAAGAACCACGAAAAGCACTTATACGATAGGAATCTTATGTTATGCAGTGCTATGCACCCACCAATGATAGCGATGAGGACGATAAAGATCAGTTTTATGGGAGACTGCAGTCCACCGTAGAGACGTGTCCAGGAAAGGACACAACCATCCTGATGGGAGACCTAAACGTCATGGTGGGAACGGACAACATTTGGTATGAAGATATCACAGAACGACATGGACCGGGAAAAAGGCATGAGAATGGTGAGAGATTTGCAAGTTTATGTGCATTCAACAAAACGGTTATAGGTGGCACTTCGTGTCAGGATGTTCTGGGCTGTAACAAGCATCATTATCATAAGGACGATGCTTGGACAAGATTCAAGAAAGGAAGAACAAGAAGACACCAATTAACAACAGTCGAACAAGAACACAAAACTTCAAGGCACACGCCGAATACACAGGAACAAACAAGAGAGTGATGAAGAACATCAGAGATGACAAGCAGAAATACATGGAAGACCTGGTAATGACAGTGGAGGAAGTTGCAACAGAACGAAATATGAGACAGCCATATGACAACGAAGAAACTACTATAGAAATATGGTAAACCAGAGCGCCTAGTGAAGCGTAAATAAGGCAAGCCAATCACTGAAATTCACGAACAGCGGAACAGATTGGCAGAACACTTCCAAGAGCTTTAGAATATATCAGCTCCACTCTACCCACCGGACATCGAAGTAGCACACAAACCTTCCTATAGCTGTCACTCCACTAACGACCGAAGAAATCAGAATGGATATCAAACAAATCAAGAGTGAGAAAGCAGCAGAAGACAACATACCAACCGAAGCACCGAAGTTAGGCATACACGTAACTGCAAGAATGTTCTACATTTTATTCAGAAATATTTGGGAGGAAGAACAAGTGCCGACAGACTGAAAAGAAGGTTACCTTATCTAGATGCCAAAGAAAGGAGATCCGAGAAGGTGTGAGAATTACAGAGGAATCACACTACTATCAGTGCGAGGAAAAGTTTTAAATAGTGTTGTTGAACCGAATGAAGGATTCAGTAGACATCCAACTTCAAGATCAACACGCTGGATTCCATAAGAATCGGTCGTGCACAGACCGAATGCAACACTATGGATCATTGTAAACAATCAATTGAATGGAATTTGTCACTACATATCGATTTCCTTGACTATGAGAAGACATTTGACAGTGTAGATAGGAGAGCCTCCCTCGACGCTATGGTGCACCTGAGATCGTAAACGCCATACGAAACAGAGTGTCGTTCTTTTAAGGACTGTATGATAATTATAATTTACTATCAGATTTAGGAATGATAATTCACAAAAAACACTTTCATTTGGAGTGCATTAGGTACCAGCTCCAAACTGACATTTACTCTTTTGGTAAATTACCGAGTTAAATGATTATACAATGATCACAAGCTGGATTAAACATCCATCTTGAATTCCACAAATAGTCTCAAGTCTAATTATCGTTAAGATGTTGCCAAGGACATCATTGAGGATATGCGTAGGTATAGGAAAGAAGCTAGGTAGTTGTATTTTTAGAACTGTGTTTACACAATATGAACTAGATAAAATAAAAATAATCAAACATTTGACAACAAATAACCGCAGTAACGAGAAGTACCTGAGAAGTATTTAGAGTTGGAACTTGACCGACATCATTAATATTTGTTAACTCTCCATCTTCCGAAATAAATGGCATAGACGGCCATTGTGACAACTGTGGATTAGTGGATGCTTGAGATGTCTTTGCACTTTGACAATTACTTGTAGTATGTCCTCTACATGGTCTTTTTCCGGTACGAGTCTTTACAGAATCTTCCCATTCTAGTCGACTACGCTTTTTTACCTCAGACACCAACTGGTCAAGTAACTAATGCAATAACATAAATGTAAACGAAAGTATATTATGTTAATACGGATATTTAAAAGATATCAATTCTAATAAAGTTGCTTTGCATGACATTTACAAAAGCTGTTTGTGTTAATCTCAGATAAAAGATTACAACAAACCAAAATACTGTAACCTTAGTTTGTGTATTCGAATATTATAAGGGTAATTACTTCCAGAAATTCCAATCTATGAAAATTGTCGACTAAGAAAAACAGGGAGTAGTCATATAGTTATTACCTTCTGGGTCTTAAAAATCCCATAAGTCAAACTAACCTTCGAATACGTTGTTACACAAAAAGCTGCAATATATATAACTCGTTTAGCGTTTGGAAAACACGAATTATTTATGACACTAATGAGATACCTTATTTTTAAAAAATCAGTTGTTTTCGTAGTTTAATGGTCGAGAGACGAGGGTTTAAAATGAACACTAAAGATGTTCAGTATTTGAACATGGATGCCTTCAAAGCCAAAATTATTCGAACGTTACTGTCAGTTGCAGTAACAGAGAATTGAAAAATAGGTAAAGGTATCCAGAGAAGTATATGCATTCGATCATTAATTGTCTTTCATGAAAAAGAAACATCGCTTATTAATTCCACTGTATAAAAAAATACACGTTTGAGTGCTTTGTTTGAAAATACCCTCTCAATGCGACAACTAGTAACACCACAAAAAAAGAAAGTATGTTCAGCGGGACTTGGATATATAACGGAATCATTAAAGGCTTATTGCCTAGGGGTTACTTGGTAAAGTGAAATAGTGATAAGATACAAACACGTTCAACTTCTACATATCTACGATGATCAACAGTATCATTTCTTAGTGCAAAAAAAACTTATTTTGGAGATTTGTGAAGTAGTGGGTTTATTAAGCAATTTTTTTTAATTTTGGGACGAATTTTATAACAGGAAATACATTAGTGCAACAGCGAGAGCTGATCTTTAATAGCTCAATCATAAACCGGTCTTAAAACCCTAGCTGACCGTAAAGCAGTCAGTCAGTAACGTGGAACTTCGTACGTACGTACATCAGTTCGAGTTGCCATACCACATTAGCACAGAGATTCAGTTATCGGTTCAAATCCCATAGTGGTAGATGTACTAAAAGTATAAGTAGTGATAGGGAACATTAGGGTTTGAAGATGTTACTCAAGGAGTATAATACAGTGAAACAAATTTAGAAAGAAAGGGATGTGAAGGATTCAGATGATTAGAATTTGGGAGAACACAAACAGTGGATGCACCTGAGCACACTATTGCAAACGATGTTGAGCCATGTCATTTAAGGTCTCTAACCATCGGTTGCTATCGTCTCGTGGATGCCAACCAGGTAGTCTACACCTACCAACATGGCTCACTCTGTCCACTTATCAGTGACTTCATGGATTCGTGCCATGATTTGATCTGGCCGCCTCTAGCTTTCTTCCAACCTACCCCTGGACCCTGAGACGTCGCTCGTCGGGGCAGTCGGTGGTTGGCTATACGTAACACATGTCCCAGCCATCTCAACTGATGAAGTTTTACCACTTCATCAGTTGATTTGCCATCCTTACCTAGTACCCGTTTCATAACAACTATATTACTTACTCAGTGGTCCCAGGATATACGAGCAATGTTTCGAAGACGTCTATGATCAAATACTAGTAACCTACGAATATCCTCTACTCCTACTGGCCATGTTTCACTGCCATAAAGTAGGACGGAACGAACTGCTGCTCAGTAAACACGTCCTTTGGTTGATAGACGGATATCTCGCCTACGCCACAAATGACGTAAGTTGGCAAAAGCAATGATATAGACATGCTCTATTAGTTAAAAAAGAGCAGACTATAAAAAACATACTATTGGATACTGTACCGTTATTGAAATCAAAACTTGCACATAGTACTACTTTGAGTACAACTTACATTTGCTCCTGTATCCCCATTATACTGGTTGATGCAATCAAAGTAGGGTTTACTTCGGATCTCGGTCGGTAGTCTGGCGATGAAGTTCAAAGCAGAACTTCTAAACTGAGCAATCGCTTTCTCCATATCATCTTTGCGGGCTCTTGTGTATAAAACTTCTCGCTTTTCTGCTTCTTTCAGAAATTCAGTTATTCCCTTTTTCGTCCATCCAGGCTTCAGTTGTACATGCAAGCAATCCAAAACTTTAAAATCGCTATCCTCTGACATTATAATAGAGTGGAACTCCGAATATATCTATCATGAAAACAAATACGTAGGTTACTGTTATATACTACTGGCAAAACAGCATACTTATGTGGGTAACTTTAAAGATAGTGAAGGTTAGCAATCACGAGGAGGTTTATTCACCAACAGATAAACTAATGATATTTTAAAAAATAATGATACTAAGTGAAATCCTGAACATTAAAAAATATAGTGGGATTTAGGTCTGGGACGCAATGTTCCAAAACCAAATGCCCTGGTAGCCATGTGTACTTAAGCCATAAGTCAGTGACTATTTTATTTTATTTGAACACATAAATATTGGTACAAGGGGAGCACCAAATATATATGCGCCACACAAAACAATGATAATTTGAAGAGAAGGAGAAAAGAGAAAAAAAAGTAATGAACGTGGGGAATTATAAAAAAAAAGGGAGAGAGAGAGAACAATGGTGGGGGAAACGGAAAGGTACAGTCAGAAGAGATCTTTCAGTTAAGAAAGATACAACCACTTTTCATGAAGAAAGTAAAAGAAGGTTACAGCAGGATCGCCACTGGCTTCTATTCTGAGCCATATCTGATAACGTCTCTAGCCACTGCGTTACACCATCTCTCGAACCCCAACCAGGGAGTCGTGAAGGACCAACAGAAGCCAGCCCTTTGCAGCTTTCTTTCATACCACGACACCATGTCATATACTGACCACCTCTCCGCTTTTTCCAACCAGTCCCAGGGTCGGCAAATAAAGCACGACGTGGAATTCACTGGGACGACATTCGTAGAACATGTCCAAGCCACCGAAGTCGGTGTTTCAAGATGGTGACACCAATTTCATTATCGTCTCTGTGACCGAACACTCGATGCCGAACCTCTGCATTACTGACATGGTGTTGCCACTGGATGCCAGCAATCCTTCGGAGACAACGATGATCGAACACAGAGAGTCGTCTAACATCCTCAACTCGGAGAGGCCAGGTTTCACAAGCATAGAGCAAAACTGCTCTCACCGACGCGTTGTAGATCCGACCTTTTACAGCCAGACTAACATCACGAAGGCGCCAAAGATGGCCCAGATTGGCATAAGCCGCTCTGGCTTTCACTATACGTGCATTGATCTCATCACTCACACCACCACCAGCACTTATGCAGCTACCTAGATACACGAACTTCGCGACTACTTCTATCTGCTCACTATCCAGAGTGAGTACAGGATTAGAAACCTGCCAGTCTTGTAGAACTTTGCACTTCGAAGATGCAAAGCACATACCATACCTACGGACACTGATTGCCAACTGATTAAGTGCGGATTGCATGGCTTGGGCATTCTCGCACAGTAAGACAATATCATCCGCATACTCAAGGTCAAGAAGTCTTTCTCCAGGCAACAGATCCACACCACCATTACTTACATCTGTCAGAGCTGTTTCCAGAATGTCGTCGATGGCAAATTTGAAGAGGAATGGTGAGATTGGGCAACCCTGCCAGTGACTAGAGGGATTATATTTAAGACCCTTTTCTATACACAGGTACTGAAATTTATAGCATACTTACCTCCACTCGAGTCTATATATCTTTAGATTCATCAGCATGTTTATCTAACTTAACAAACAGTCTGGCTATTTCACCAAACACATACTTCTATGCTTATATAAAGACGTATGATTGATTACATGTTACAACCCATGCATATACTCCTCTAATTCGTTTAAATATTGGTTTCTTAAAACGATTGGTGATTTATTCGCAAGTTTTTATATATTTGTTCATAGGGTTAATTAACTAATTTGTCAACTTATTTTTCTCATCGTGTGTCTGTTGATTGTTTGATTTATTCTATACTGAAAAAACTACTACTAAGACTTTTTATTGCTTTCTGAAAGTTATACACCTAGGGATCTTTGCAACAATTATTATCAGGTCGATTGATATACGAAGTTTGAGAATAGCTTTGAAAATATTCTGCAGCAACTTACTATGTGATCATGTTATTTTACATCATAAGCTACAGAAGCTGAAGAATAGGAAAAAAGTTGAAAGCTAAGTGGACTGTTGAGCAGTATCTTCAACCCCTATTTGGCCGGCAGATTTTTCTCTTATGTCATAGGTGATTCAAGCCGGTGACAAGCATGCGAACTTCCTGAACCCATGCTAATAATTGGTCAACCAACAGACAAACGATGTCGACGCACTAGGTTACTCTACAATTACTGATCAACCTAGCTGAAAATATAGACAAGATTAAAAACCATATTGTGGACGGAAAGCGAGATAAATGAATCCCGCAGCATTTAAACGATTGCATAAATTTCAATAGATTTGCGAGAATACTAAGCTCCAGGAAAGTCTATTTTTGTCCAGATTGATATTTTAGTGGCAGGCCATATCCATTCTTATGTACACTTCAATCTCTTAATTTACTTGCCCAGTCATACGTCGGGTATAATCTGGTTTACATATAAATTGGTTCACAATGTCATACCCCATTAGCACTGACATGAAATCGTCACGAAATATCCCATAGTAAGAGCAATAACAGTCAGTGGCAGTAAGAAGGATTAAACAGACAATATGATTCGAAAAAAAATGATGAAATAAAAAATAATTTTAAGTCTGGATTTCAAGGAAAGAGTGGGTCGGTCTGCGCCAAAGTGACTGATTCTAAGCTATGTCATCTGATTTCTTCAACCACCAATTACGCTAATCGACAGTGCAAACCTACCTACACAGCTTAGACCAGCAGCAAATGACTTCATGGACTGATGCTACCTATTGGTTTGGCTGATCTAGTTTCCTTCTAACCCGCCCCTGCAACAAGAGACAACACATTGAATGTAATGGGTGTTTTAATCTACATAGTTGGTGAAGATGCAGTCTTGTAAACCCACTTGCTATTTCTATTACCTTGCGTCTAGCCTTAAAGTTGTTAACGCCATGCTCTCAAAATATATGAGTATTTTTTGATGGAGTTTTGTTCTCTGAGCTGGATGGTTTGGTCGTGGAGCTTTCATCGTTCTTCCAAACGACATCATCAGCACAAACTTCAAATAATTGGAGCCCATAACCGGTCAAGTAATAGCTTTCATTCCCAAGCGATGAACACAGAGGTCCTCAATAGGCTTAATTTCCTAAGTATTATATATACTAGCACACGTTATTCCGTTTAACCACATAAGCTTTCTCTATAGTTCGCTGTCTTTCCTCTCTTACAGCCGGGTTCGTGTCTGAAAAAAGCGAAGATCAATATCAACTTTCAGATACCGCACATTGGAAAATACCTAGCCCAAACATGTTTATATTGTTGCTGAGAGCAGTCAAAAGAGGATGAATTACGTCGGCTTATTTAATAGGGGTGTCGTCATTATTTGTACACTATCTTAATAGACTAATCGGTAGAAAACGTCGGAGGAAAATATCGTATCTAATTAAGCTAATAGTACTTATTTCACCCTGAACATTTGTCTAAACTGAGTTATATGATACTTTTGCCTTAACTGAATTACAAAGAGCAGGGCATCCAAGTCTTCAGAAAAGAAGCAATGTAAATGAAATAGAAAAGGACAAAGAATACGCGGGGATGGCAAGTAATGTTTCTAATTTCATTCGCCTTTACCTTATTTCCTACCCAAATCTCCCTATTTTGTGGAGGCTTCTATGGAAAATTTTGGGGAATTTACTCAAATTTTACGAAGTAAACTAGACATAAAAAACATAATAAGAATGACGATCAGAGGGACGTACAAATTTGATGGCACAGATAAATAATACATCCATAGTGACTTTATAATATGTTAAATATATACATATATAAAACATGAGAAGGGCCTACCAAATACTAGTTACACGGGACCGTTTCGCCCCTGCCGCTTAGTCAACTTGTATTTTATTTTGATACTGTTAAACAAACAACCACAATAAACTTTCGCGACAGCTAGAAAATTGCTTGCAACTCAAAAGTTCGTTGCCCATTCACTTGTATTATACCTTAAGATATGGATCACTTTGGCCATATTCAGCAGGGATTTATGTCAAACACTACAATTTATCTCAAACTTCGGTTCACTCTCACAAATGGTTCAAATGGTTCAAATGGTTGCGGACGGAATAGAAGAAGCTTTCGCTTAACAGGCTTCCGTGTCTAGTAGCAGCGGATCACCAATACCGCCAGGCAAGAACCTAGGTATATTAACGATAAAAGAGAAAGAAAATGAATTGGTAAATCATAGTAGGATACTATCCTTAGTCCTTAAGAATAGATCAAGTCGCCTCTTAAAGGACTCCTGGGAAGTTGCTTGGACTAGCTCAGCTGTCAGCGAGTTCCAGCATTTGACAACTCTTAAGGAGTAGAAATTGTGTCTGCAGTCCGTTCTACTATGTTGTATCTCCAGTTTTTGGGTGTTACCCCTTAGGTTAGTGTTGGGACTAAGCTTAAGTAGGTGTTTAAGAGGGTGTCCAGGTGTGTTAAGGATACTGTAAGCCATTAGAATGTCACCTCTAAGACGCCTATACTCTAATGGGTAAAGGTCGAGTGATTGGAGGCGCTCATCGTAAGGTTTAAATTTGAGTCCCCGAACTGATTTCGTGGCTCGCCGTTGGATACGCTCCAGAGTGTCCTTATCCTTTTGGAGTGTAGGAGGGAATACTATGTTCCCGTACTCTAAATGGGGACGAATGAAACTATTGAAAATTATGTGAAAAGTTCTCCCGTCAAACTGACCAAAAATGCGCTTCAATGTTACCAGTGCAAGGTTTGCTCTAAAGGCATTTTTGTCATAGTTGGCGTAAGACTTTAAGTCGTAGGGCACCAGAACTCCTAAATCTTTTTCGACTCGGGATACTACTAGAAAGGAGTTTCCTAAGTTGTAACTGTAATCTGCGACGTGTCGCAGATGGACTACTTTACACTTGGAAGTGTTAAAGGTAAGTCCATTATCATCTGCCCAACTTTGAAGTCGAGTCAGATCCTCCTGAAGTGCCTGTATGTCCTCTTGGTTGCGTATCTCTCT